GATTGGACAAATACTAACATTTGATGCCAGTATCCCATCTGAAATGGAGGTTTTTTGGGGTAAATAAGCGATCTAAGGCATAAGGCCTTTGGCGCCTCCAAACGCCCCAGTGTGGTCGTGAGTGGGTGTCTTGGGCTCCGAAATGGCCTGCTGAGGAAGTCCTACCCACTGTCTTCTGGTGGCGGAGGTGTTTACACTGAAGTGGGAGGGTAAAGGCGAATGTCCGGCGCTTTCCACCGGGTTGACTGACGACTGGTCGTCAGTTGTAAAATGTTGCAAAATTTGTTGCACCGATGTGGGTGGTTTTTGATAACTGTCACTCTGAAAATGCATTCGCGGAAGTCATATTTTCCACAGATTAAAGGTTGGTCTATCCTCTCGCTTGAGGTTGGTCATAGAAAGGAGTTCGATCTCAATAAATAATATTTTTCCACATTTAAACAGTTTTTCGACTGGTTAATTACAAGGTCAAAGTCATTCAATTACCGCCCGGCAGTTGGGATTTGGATGTTATCGAAAACATTTCCCTATGTTAGAAACAGAGGTAAGTTAGCTACCTTGACAGTGGTTGTCAGTGGTTCGGATGTGGTATGTATTAGAAGAAACTAGCCATTTCTGTTGGACAGTCAACTTGGTGGACTGCGACTGCCTCCAGTGCTCACAAAGGAAGAAGGGAAAATAACACATGGACGAGATGAAAATACAATACTTGTATCAAGTCCATGGGTCATTTCGACAAATAAATTCTAGGTAAGTTTTTTTCACTGTGGCCTTGTTATTTTACAACTGATGCACCAGTAACCGTCGTCAAAATCGGGATATCGTATATCTTATTAGCATTCGAATATGAGAAGCGAAGACACGTGGAGGTGATTACAGATATCTTGCGTTTGACGAGGGGCAATGTCACATTCAATGGATGAACGAGGCTGGAAAAGTAAGCATTGGGGGTGTGTGTGATGAAAGTTAGGGTGTTGCACGAGTCTGGTCGATATATATATCATCATCGATCATTCTGCTGTGTCGAAGAGAGAACACAAGCCCAAAATAGTTTACTGTTAGTCTGAAGAACAATTCATGCAGGACGAATTAGCCACCAACAAAATGAACGATTAACAATGGTTCCCTATTGAAATGAACCATGGAAACTCCATCGTTCTAACAGGTTCATCAGACTTACATTAAGTAGTTGAATCTGGTTCGAACTGATGGCATTTTTATCTTTCAACTCCATAGCCGCGGTCCTCAACTTTCGACCATATTCGACCAAATTGAGCACATCATCCGTGGACCAACTGGCCCCATCAATTGAAGTGGCCGGANGAAGTTTGCTTTAGTTCACCGTTCAGGAAACAGGGACGGGCTGCTGGCGGATTATCAATGACAGAACGGAGGGGTCCAGTATCATGGAGACCAGCACTGGCGATGTTCGACCCGTTTGATTGACAGCCATTCAACACAGTTGTGCAGTGATTCATATCCCCATTGAGCGCGTGACCCGAATCGGAATCGGCGGAGGCATCTGACGACCGTGGGGTCGGGGATAGTGATGAGGAGACGGTGAGATCCAGTGAGTTTTGTGCACCCGTTGTGGTTGGTGTGGGGTTTCCCGTATTCGGATTTGTCAGTTTACCACGGTGAATAATGTTTACACACTTAGATCGGGCAAAACCGTTACCCAGGGGGTTGCACTGTTCTGGTAACGATTCTAGGAGGTCTACACTAGACCCGTAGCGGTTGCATTCCACAGCATCAGCAGTAGCACCACCACTAGTAAGACAGAGGCCGCTCATAATGTGACGCTCTTTTCTGTCGCAATCATCGGTGGTGTGTGGGCCGAGATCCACCGAGTTGTCCGGCTGTGAAACATGAGACATACGAATATACACAGACAAATTGAAAGTAACTGCCACAATAAGTTTAACGACCTCCTTTAATCACGAATGTACTAAGACCAACCACAAATACAATTATGCACATACCCTGAGGTTAAGAAAGTGACTGTATGGAACTGAAAAGAGAAACAGTGACATGTAAATCAGAAAATGATCACAAAAAACAAACACACATGTGAACATGTGAGGGACGACAGAGAGAAAGATTGTGATTGCGTGCCAGTTTGTGGATTCTCGTCCTGAATGGACACTTTTCATTAAACTGTACGGACCGAAAGCAGGCACAGGCAGCTAAGAATACAATGAGACCATTGTCTGTTAGTGTGTCAAGCATACCCTATTTTTCTTCAGACAGTGTGCCTATTAAACCTACATCTGGCGGAATTCTTGGAATAATAACCCATGTTGCTCACCCATGCGGCTCTTAATGGCATTTGCCAACTAGATATATCTCTGGCACCCTCGCGCAATCCGGCTACCTGTGAAGCATGCAGGAAACGTTGCGACAGTTCTTCCAATGCTGCTATACGGCGCAGAGAATTGGCCGTTACGAGAACAGAATGAAAACAGACTGTTGGTGTCTGAACATCGCCGTCCATATTGTGTTACAAGAGTCTCATGGGGCAAACGGAGGTTCAATGCATAGTTTTAAGGAATCACAGACGCCGCCCGAAAACAACGAACACAATTGCGAAATTGGGCGATGATGGACCAATGGTAACATTACCAAATTATCACCCCGAGGATGTGTTCGAACCCCATCACGGAGCCCGACTGTTCCCATTGTGTTGAATAGCAGCTCTTTGATTGGCCGCTTCCTCGTTCCTGAAAATTGTATCTTGGTATATTCAATACAAGGAAGTAAATTAAAAAAACGAACACAGGTCATTTCGTTAAACCTTATCAACTTCAAGTGGGTCCGCCGTAAATTCAAATGAATCCAACCCATCGCACGCTAACAGGAACCCAACAAAGTGATTGGTTCTTCTGCCGCCAAACGTCACCGATTGGACCGGGTCTATCCAAACCCCGTCCAGTCGTGGTTTGATAACTTGTGCCTCTCTATGACCTAACGAGCTACACAGGATGGTTTTTGTCAAGCCGAAGATCCAATCCGGCCCGGAAGGTCGAAGAGTAGAGGTCAAACGAAGTCCAGTCTCCTGGTCCTCTAGGTTCGGGACTCGACTGGAATTTGCGTTTCAGTCGATAAAAATGGTGGAGTAGTCGATCCAGGTAAATGCGCTTACACTTCGCTTCACCCGCTGCCTTCGGTTAGGTTGTTGTTAGAACTAAAGGCTTTGGATAAGAACCTTAATCTTTCTCCTGTTTAGTAGCTGGATACCCTAGTAGTACCCGTCTATCAAACCATAATGGATACACAAACACAAAATCATTCCATACTGCATCGGTTGTCGCGCAAGATAATCAGGACCGCGTTGTCCATTGCATTGAGTAGGATGGATAGTGACAAGTGAGCTACTGCTCAGATATCCCGACCTTTAATTATTTATCTTCAGCACCCAAACCTCTCTATTTGGCGCTTCTCCCGACCTGTAATAGTCCCTCAAGATACTTGTAGGTCGTTGCGAAATAGCACTGTAAGTAATGTACCACAAAATGAATTGCAGATTCTAAAGCTTCGTCAATCACTGAATCTGGGGGCCTCGACGTGACTCGGATGATACGGAAAATAAATTATTCTATATATATACATATATATCTTGAGAGACAGGACGCCAAAAATAACCATGGGTTAACGAAAAATGTGGGTATAGAAGCGGGAAAAAAACAGTCAACTTGAAAAACAAACAAATTTGTTTGTTTACTGCACGCAGTTTTGAGTTTCTTTTTGTTTATTTTTGCACGCAGGAGAAGATACGGAAAAGAAATTATTCTCCGGGGAACTTGACCAGACCGCGGGACTTAGTTTCTTCTACTGAATTTTCTGTATTCACAAATAATCAGCTGTCTATGTCTTGCGATGATCATTATTAGAGTAGCAAGTTTGGATTAGCCCATTCGATTGCTCACAGGCACCAGGCACTCTTGATGGTCTCGGGTGTGGGTTTCACTCCTTGGGAGATCGTTAATTCCCCACAAGTTCATGCCTTTACATACATTCATTGATTATCTTAATCTCTGCTATTACCAATGTTGACCTGTTGGGTCATAGAGAGGCACAAGTCATCAAACCACGACTGGACGGGGTTTGGATAGACCCGGTCCAATCGGTGACGTTTGGCGGCAGAAGAACCAAT